AGAGATGGTTAATATCTCCTTCTCCTCCTCCTCCGTGCCGCTCTTTCCGTGACTCACCCTCCACCACTGCTGCTACCAGCTCCTTCCTTTTACAAAACAAGCAAAGTTTATTGAGGTGATAGTACACTCCAAGAAGAGCAGAAGCTCACAGGAAATGAAATTCTTTCTTTCCTTCTCCTTCCTTCTCTTAACATCTGGCGAGGGTAGATTTTTTAAATCTAGGGTTTGTAATAAAATCTACATCAAGAAAAGAATTAGAGATATAAGTTTAGAAGAAGAAACAAAATCACTTTATAGTAAAGGGAAAGGAAACACAGTCAATGGGGGAAAAATGGGGAAACACAGTCACTTTATTAGAGAAAGGGAGAGAGATAAGGAGATAGATAGGGAGTTCAGAGCCGGAACTGGGTGATGGTGGGGCCTTTGAGAGTTATTATAACCTGGTTGGCTATTTTGGGCTCTGAGACCCCTGATTGACCGTTGCCCCTTCCACTGCCTATGTGTACATTCTTGGATAAGCACTCCTGTGGTCCCTTTGTGCTGCCCAGGTGCTTATTGTGTGAGATTTATAGAAGAGTCACATTCAAGGCCAAGTTAGTTAAAAGGATGTATATACATTTTAGTGTATTAATATGGTGGGATGGGCTGGGGATTTAGCTCAGTGGTTCTGCCGCCTGTCTTGAAAGCGCAAGGACTGGAGTTCGATCCCTGGTACCCCCTGCAAAAGTGTTGGGAAAGGAATGAAACATGTATGTACTTATATAGGTATGGGAGTGCCTAGGTATTAGGGTATACTTTACATACAAAGTGAGGTTTTAAAAAATAATATAGCCCCTCCGCCACCTTTTTGTGTATAATTGGAGGTGGAGGGAGGAGGGAATTGAGCTTTAGCATGATGAGTTGTGCCTTCTTTATTATGTATTTATTTATTTCTTTATTTTTGTGTATCAGGGATTGAACTCAGGACCTTGTGCTTGCAAGGTAGACCTGGCACCACTGAACTAAATCCCCCACCTGAGCCATGCCTTCTTATCAGCTCTGGTTATTTTCTTTTTCTTTCTTTTTTTCTCTTTTAGCTATTCTCTCTAGCAGAGGTTTTACTCTTTATTTGTCAGAAACATCACTGAGGCTTTTTTCCTGTCTGTTCCCCAATGTTCCCTATCCTCCCTCCCTCCCTACCTCCCTTCCTTCCTTCTTTTCTTCTGTCTCCTCACTCTCCTTTCTTTCTTTTTTCATAGCACTGGGAATTGAATCAGGGCTTCACATATGCTAGGCTACTTCTTTACTACTGAGCTACATCACTGCCCCAAAGATTCATATTTCAACTTCTATCTTGCTTCCTAAGAATATTATTAGCAAGTAAGTATGTTTTTCATCTTGTATATTGTTATAGTTTAGATCTAAAATGTCTCCCAAAAGTCTCTCTTGTTCAGCGATTGGGCTTTGGAAAGTGGTTCGGACATGGGGTGCTAAACTCATGAATGGATTAATCCATTGATGAGAGTTCATAGCTGACTGTTCACTCACTGTGAGGGTGTGGGTGTTGGAGGTGGTGACTGGGGTGTAGTTTGGGAGAGTATAGCTTTTCCTCTGGCTTTCTTGCTTCTGGCCTCCCTGGAGTGATCAGCTTTGTTCTGCCATAATGTTCATTCCTTAAAACCAGCCAATTAGGATTAACCCTCTAAAACAGTGAGCCAAAATAAACCTCTCGCACTGTAAGTTGTGGGTGTCAAGTATTTTGTTCCAACAACCCAAAGCTGACCAACACATATAAGTACCTTAATTCTTACCACCCCCAAATAAAAACCTATTAAAGATCAAGTATTAGCCACATACTACAGATCTATCAGCAGACTCAGGTGATGTGACTTGGCCACAAACTGTAAAGCCAAGAATATAAATCCAAGTTTGTCTCCAAAGTCTCTGTTTTTTTCCATTTTAATATGCTGTCTATAAAGGTTTGGAATGTAGAAAGTGTGACTGCTAATAGTGGATAATTTTAACAATCATAGTAGAACACGCACACATGAATGGCTTGCATTTCTCCACATCATTATCTACTCTATAAAACATTTTTAATTCCTCATTTGCCATTGCTTTTAGAGACTGTAACATATTTAAGTATCTTTAATGATTGCAATTTTAATATTTTGAGTGCATTTTAAAGCCCAAAGTATAATGAATAATATTATTAACAAGTCTAGATAAAATCATTTTTTATTAAAACTAGCTTTATAGTAACTTATGCTACCTTCATTAAATTTATTTGGCTTCAAATAGCAGATACCTCAGTAACATTCTCAGCAGAGGAGAGGCATACTGAATAGACAATAGGACTTGGGTTTGGAACCTGAGAACCCAAACTCTGAAGCAGCTTCTGGAACCATTTTTGGAGGTAGTTATGACTCAGTTGTCTCCTCCACCTTCCTCATTTACCAATTGACTCCCTCTATTTTGCTCATCTCAGGACTCTCTCTATTACAAAGAACAGAGAAACAAATAGAAATTTGCATTATAATAAATAATATTATTGGCCTTTATATTAAAAAAGTCTAGTTGGTGGGGTAACCTTGAGAGCTACTTTAATCCAGCAGCTCCAGAGGGTCCCCAGGGAATATGAAGAAGGACATAAATTGGTTAGTCCAGCTCCTTGAAATGTTGCAGGTCTCTTTGGTGGAAAATAAAAGAATCATGCTATGGACCCAATAGATTTGGACCTTGGGGATTATATGGCGTTTTCTGCCAGTTCCTCAGCCACTGAGCCCTAAAAACCCTCAGATGGTATCGTAGTTGGGTTCTTCAGGCAACAGATTCTGAGGCAGAATTTTGTGTTCAGGATGTTTATAAGAGACTGTACATGGGGTTGAGGGCTAAGAGAAGAGGGAGAAGAAAGCAGGAGTGGGCAGAGGGTAGAGCTAGACTCTGACAGCCTTACCCTCAGGGAGCTCCGAGGCTGAAATCATGACCTATAAGAGCTGTTCCAAGTTAATCAGATGGACAGGTCTTTACATCCCCATATAGGCAAGTCACTGGATGTGGCTTCTGCCTCAAAGGTGGAGGGTGAGGCAGCCTTCTGATGTCAAAAGTGTCCCTTAAGTAGCTGACAGATAAAGGGACTGTAATGCTCCCAAAAGGTAGGACAAGTCCTTCCTTCCAGGAAGATCCAGGCAGCACATTTCTTGATTACCTTAATGAATATTTGGTCAATATGGAAAGACCATGAGATCCCATGTTAATTTTTTCATCATACACTAAAGGAGAAAAGTACTTCTTTGTTCATGATAAAAATTAGAGACTCCCTTGCAAAAATACTACAGCAGATGCTGTTGAGAAAAACTGGGCTTGACTGGAGCAATCTGCTGTAGGTGCCATTTACATTGAAATGCTACTGCAAAAATCTGGTCTGCATAGACAAGCAGAAGGACTTTTCTAGTTACTCCAGTTAGAAAGGTTATTCTGGAGGTGGATAAGGAGGAGGAAGAACAATGGAGGACAGTCCTATGGTCTGCTCTTAGGAAATGACTTGAAACCCTACTTAACCCTCAAAACCCGCTCAAAGTTGGGGAGATTATAAAAGTAGGTATGAATTAGTGGCCTGAGTTCAGTTCCCAATATACAGCCCCCTGCCACCCAGAGGGAGGGAATGTGCAGCTTTCTCACTGTTGTAGATTTTCGCCTTAGGACAGGCTCTGAGGACTGACTGACATGTGACAAAGTTTCCTAGTTTGTTACAGGTAGGCCAGGCGTGGTGGCTTACGCCTGTAATTCCAGCACTTGGGATGCTGAGACAGGAGGATCACTGTGAGTTGAAGGTGTAGATAAACCAGCCAGAAATAGAATAGTGACCAAACATCAAATTGCTCCCTGGTGCTCAACAAACAATCAGTTCAGTATGGGGCACACTGCTGCCAAGGACTGAAGACTTGAGCCTTTGTGCAGACATGACAAGGGATCCCCCAGCCACAGAAAAAGGGTTATACAACTCAGATGAGGAATGTTTAGAAGCAGCCCCTCCACACTCTGGTGCCAGCAGTATTCATTCTTTTCATAGTCTGAAAGAGATAGATATTTCTAAACTCAGAAAGTTTCCCTTGCTGAGACCAACCTTGGCCATATAAAATGTAAGCCTTGCTGACGAGGCCAAAACATGGGAGTAGAGCCTGAGATGTGAATTCTCTGGACTAACAGAGAGTATGAATTTTTTTTGCATGACAAAGTTACTTTTATTTGTAAATGACTATTGATACACCAAATAGAAAGTAACAAGTTCTTGAGTCCTATCATCTAGTAAATTGTTTTATTTTATTTTAATTTGAGGCAAGGTCTCACTATGTAGTCCAGGCTGGCCCAGATCTTACTATGTAGCCCAGGTTGTCCTCAAACTCATAGTTCTCCTGCCTCAACCTCCCAAGTGCTGGGATTACAGGCATGCACCACCACACCTGGCTCATCTAGTAATTTTGGTTAAAATAAACTAAGTGCAGCCCAAGCAAGTATGCTAGTATTCACTGTTCTTACCCTTCCTCAGAATATACTACTTTAAGGATGGCTGCTGCATTATACAAGTTACAAATGATTATTTACTATTTTTTCATAGATAAAGACCCTGACCTTCAAGAAAATGTAAGGGGAAAAAGTTGTTCAATACCTTCCTTTCTTTAAAGAACTGTTTGTTCTTTTTCTTCCGAAATCTAAGAATGAAAAGTCAATGCTGATATACATGTTGCTTGAGAAAAAATGTAGAGGAAAACAGACAACATATACTCATTAAATTTCTAAGAAATATAAGGTAAAAAGATGAAATTTTTGGAGAAAGTACTAAGTTTGTCCAAAGAAGCTATATATTCTACTCTCCAAAAAGTGGAGGAAATTATTATACAACATAAGAAATAATTTAATGTATTTTATAAGAACAGAAATTGACTTTGAGAAAGCTTCATATTCCACGAGAGCATCTACAGTGCTAATCCACAGAACAGGCACTTCTTTCTCCTATCCATTGTTGCAGTAGTTTTCATGGAATTTTTGGCCAGATGTCGCAGATGAAGGCCAAGAGGTTATCCAGAATTTTTTCCCTGTTCTGCCGAAAGTAGGTCTGGAGGATGGTCATCTTCTCCTGGGTCTCTTTCTCCACTTCATTGCTGCACCTGCCGTGGGATCCCAAGGTGCTTGCAAGCCTCCAACACCTCCTCTGCGGCCTGCTTCTCGGCCTACAGCTGCTGGATCCCCTGTGACTGGCTGGCCATGGCTGCTGCAGCTCACAGGGCCAAGTGAGCATCCTAAAACCGGGGGAACCACACCTCAGATCATTGCCCCAAGAGTATTGATTCTTATAAAACCACTGGCCTAGCTGGTAGTGGGAAACATAGACTTTGAGGTAGTAGGTTGGAGAGAGGAAGAAGCTACCTAATACACTTTTCCAAGTTACATGCTGTACATGTGTGTATGTGCATGTAAATATACAATACAGCCTCCCTGTGGCCCTCAAGTGGTTTTCTGTTCACTATTCCTCTGGGTTTCCTTTTAGCTATTCTGTTGCTCAGTGCAGTTTTTAAATTATTTCTTTCCCTTTCCTTAACCTCACTTATACTATGAATCTAATGTCTGCAGACTAAGTTATCTGTTGCTTTCCAAGTTATACTCATCTGCCAGTCTCCAGGTCTTTTGGTAAAATTCCTCAAACATTCGAGTTCCTGGCTCTCAACAACACTATTTTTGTGATTCTTTTTTTGGGGGGTGACTTTAATATCTTCCTTAGTAATCCATCTAATGCTCTCATCCTTCATTTCTATGGCCTTGTCTCCAATGACCTTGTTCTTTCACCTACTTCAGTACCCGGCATGGGTTCTACCATACCACCTTCACCCCTGAAGCACCTTTATTCTATGCTGTTTCAAGTATCCCAATCTCAGATCACAACCTTGTATCTTACACGCACATTGTTTCTACTGTCTTACTCTAACAAAAAGACCTCCACTGGAACATAACATCTCTTGACCTACCAATTTTTCACTGTACTCGACTTCCTATTTGTTTTCCCTTCCACCATTATCTACTGTTAAACTTTGGGTATAGTTTGTCCCCGAAGAGGTCATGCATTGGAAGCTTGGACCCCAGTGGGGCATTGTTAAGAGGTGGTGGCACCTTTAAGGGGTGCAGCACAATGGGAGATGATCGGGCCATTGGGAGCACTGCCCTTGGAGGAGATGCAGGTCACCTCTAAGAGAGTGATGTGCTATGAAGGAGGAAGCCCGCTTCCTCTCTCACCATGTTATTCATTCCATACAGCGTCCTGCCATGGTGTGATGCAGCCCTAACCTTAGCCAGACCTGGCACCAACTGTTTAGATTTTCATCCTCCAAAATTGCGAGCTTTAATGAACTCAATAAAAGTTATTTAAAACTTTAAATAAAAGTTTAATAAACTTAATAAAATAGAAAATAAAAAGTGTTAGCCAAGTAAACTTAATAAAATAGAAGAAAAGATGTTTGAGTCTTGAGTAGAAGGTATATAACAATTTTCAAGAAAAGAGGAAATATGATTTAAAGACATGTATAATTGCTAGATGACAACAAAGACCTGTGAAAGGTTGGTGGCTATGAACTTAAAGTGAGACCAATAATACAGTTGCACATTTTTCTTTAACTGCATGATTACAGATATGAAGTAGACAGAAAATCAAATTTTAACAAGGGTTGAGCCAGGCATGGGGCACATGCCTGTAATCCCAGCACTGGGGAGCTGAGGCAGGAGGATCATGGTGAGTTCAAAGCCAGACTGAGCTACATGGTGAGTTCAAGGCCAGCCTGAACCATATAGCAATACCCTGTCTCAAACAAATAAACAAACAAACAAAATTATTTCATAGTTTCTGGTTGGGTACTCTGGCTGAGGGTGTGTATGTGTGTGTGTGTGTGTGTGTGTGTGTGTGTGTGTGTTACTGGGGATTCAATCTAAAGCCTGGTGCATGTTAAGCAAGTGTTCTATCACTAAGCTCCATTTCCAACACTTTTTAAAAATTTTATTTTGAGACAGAGCCTTGCTAAATTGCCCATGCCAGTATTGAACTTGTGATCCTCCTGCCTCCGCTTCCTGAGTAGCTAGGACTTAGGCATGTGTAACTGTGTCTGGCTAGTTCAGAGTCTTTTATGAGGTGTCAGTCAAGTTGTCGAGCAAGAGGACAGTCCCTGAAGACTTGATTAGGGCTCGATGACCTACTTTAAACTCATTTGTAGGGCTGTTGGCTAGAGTCTTCAGTTAATTACCATCTCAGCTTCATTATAGGATTGTGCATGTCATATATGGCATCCTCCAAAGTGACCTGGGGGAGAATGAGAGTCAGAGTAAAGGCAAGTGGAGTGATGGTGGCAGGGAGAACACAGTGTCTTTATAATGTAACATCTGAATGACCATCGCTATCACTATAACAGACCGACCCAGGTGCAATGTGGGAGGGGAGCACACAAAGATATGAACTCTAGGAGGTAGAAATCATTAGGGGCCATTGTGGAAACTGGCTATACTATCATTTTACAATAAAAACAAAGAACTCAGGAAGAAACCCCTAAGCTCTAAACTTTAGCTACCACGTTACCCAATTATCTGCATACATTCTAACACCACACCTACTGTTGTAATTAATTATCCTTTTTAACTATTAAGGCCAGTGCCTCTACTTGTTCACTAGGTTTCATTTGCTCTCATCCAATTAATGACTTGGGTCCCAAAATTCTCTTTCTCTTGAATCATCAGCTTTCTCCTGACTGTTGGATAATTCTCGTCAGCAAAAAAATGCAGTGATATTCCATCTCCCTCTTTCTTTTCTTTTTTGAGTACTGGGGATGGAACACAGGAACTTGCCACCTCTGAGCTACATCTCCAACTCTTTTTATTTATTTGGAGACAAGATCTTGCTAAACTGCTCAGACTGGCCTCCAATTTGTGATCCTCCTGCCTCGGCCTCCCAAGTAGCTGGCAATATAGGCCTATGCCACTGTGCCTGGCTAGCTGTGATCTTAAAGAACTCTCCCATGACTCTACCTCTCCTTTCAGATCCTCATTTCTGTGTGTCTCTTTAAACAAAACTCACTTATTTTGCAAATAGGAAGGGGGACAAGAGATGGAGGGAGGGTAAAGAGAGGTGAGAGGAAGAAGATGTAAAAAAAATTAAGATGGACTATATGCATGTACCAACTCCTCATGATGAATGCAATAATTATGCACAGCAACATATACTAATAAAACAAAAAAGATAGATAAAATTCATTTGAAGAGTTGTACAAAATTGCTATCTCCAATTCCTTAAGTCTACTCCATCAGGCTTTTGCTCTTCAACTGATCTAAAGACACTGCTCTTTTCAAAGTTACTAATGATCCACATTGCTAAATTCAATACTCAATTCTTAGTCCTCATCTTATTTGACTTATCATCATAATTTAATACATACGGTCTATATTCCTAAAAAGGAATATTTTTTTAAATTTGGCTTTCAAAGTATTATACACTCTTGTTTTTCCTCCTTAGTTTACGGACTGACCCACCCATTCTTTTTGCATTCACCTCTTCTCCACCTCTAAATGTTGGAGTGTCCTAATCCTAGTCTTGGGGCCTATTTTCTTACCTGTCTCTATTCAGCTTCTTGACAATTCCATCAAGTCTAATGATTTTAAATCTATAGGCTAATACTTCTCAGATGTATAGTTTTAACCCAGAATTCTTTCTCAGGAACTTTTACCATACTATTTTCTTGAATGCTGATTAAATAAAATTTAATCTGTCCCAAACTGAACTTCTAATCTTTTCCTCCCAAACCTGCTCCTTCCCCATCTCAGTAAACAGCAATCCCAGCCTCTGGGTTGTTCAAGATAAAACCCCTAGGTTTTTCCTTGAGTCCTTTCTATCTCATGCACAATACATAATCCACATCTAAATCTTCAACAGATCCTGAAAGTTTTGCCTTCCAAATATTCCAGAACTAACCCACTTCTCACCATCTCCATCACTACTTCCCTGATCCAAGATATCACAGTCCCCTATCAAGTATTCCAGTAGCCTCCTAATTTGGTTATTTATTTTTTTGAGACAGGGTCTCACTATTTAATTCAGGCTGACCTTGAATTTACTATGCAGCCCAAGCTGGCCTTGAACTCGCAGTGATCCTCCTGCCTCAGCCTCCTGAGTGCTGGAATTACAAGCATGCAGCACCACCGCTGGTTTAATTGATCTTGTTCATAGTCTAACCCCTTCTCTCTAGTCTCAAGACAGCATCCAGGATGTTTTTTTAAAAAAATCCAAGTCACATTTTGAATTTCCTCTGCTCAAAGCCCTCTGGCAGCTCCCCATCTGAACACATTGTGGTGGCTTACAATATTCTGTATGACTGCCCATGCCTCAGATTTTGACCTCCTCTATCAGCATTTCCTCTTTCACTCTGCTCCATTTATACCTTACTAGTTTCCTTGCCGTTTCAGGCAATGCTCTTACCTTGAGGGCAGTTGTACTTGCTGTTACCTCTACCTGGGATACCCTTATAAAAACCCTCCCTTGAAAATTACAGCTTCTTGTTCCACTATCTCTTTAAGGCATTGCTTCAAAGAACCTTAGTGAAGCCTTCTCTATTAAACTCCCACCCCCATATTCTCACACCTGTTTTTAGCACTCATTAAAATCAGACACATTTACTTACTGATATTTGATTATTCCTTTGGCTGTATTATAACTTTCCCGAGAAAGAAATATTATTTGCTTTATCCACTGCTATTTATCTCTGGTGCCTAGAAGTGTACTGGTATACAGAAAGCCTGCCATAATGTTGAATGAATGAATTGATATCCACAGAAATAAGGCGTCCCTAGACTACAACAAAGCTTGGAAAAGAAACGGATACTCTTTATGAATGTGCAGTGTTCAAATACAAGAATCATGAAACAGCGCTGTAAACGTAATGAGCTATATAAAAGTATGATTTACTTTTGGTTTAATCTGTTCCTAACTGTCCTGAGAACCCTTTTTTCTATCATTTTTTCGGCCTTTCCTCGGTGGGATTCCCTGGCCCACCCAGGCGGTCAGATCATCAGACCAATAATCCTTTTCTTGGGAGATTTAGCAAGGTCTCAGGTCTACCACAACTCCGGCATTGTTCCACCGGCAACGCCCGCAGAGGATAAATTACTCAGCAGTCCCCAGACGCACGAGGTCCCGCCCTCGATCAGGAAGCGGAAGTGGCAGGTGACAGGCGCTTGAAACCCCGCCCCTTACTCCTTTGTTGCCCAATGGACGTGTCGAAAGCCCGGAAGAGGCGGGTACAAGGCGACGGAGGGGCGGGGCAGGGTGTCTTACTAGAAAGTGGCGGTTAACTTGAGATGGTTTCCTTAGTACCCTACGTAGTTTGAGTCTGTCGGGAATTCTCTCTGTACCTAGCCAATACGGTCTCAGCAGGACTACCCTCCTGGGGCCTCAGAAATAGGCTTTTATCTGGTCCGGAACTCCCAGTGGTTCAGCGCTTCTCTTACTGCATAACAATAACTACGTATTTGAATTTTGTCTCAGACCCAGGTCAGCGTGGTCCTTCCTAACGCTGGACACAGTCTTCGTTCTTTCAGTCTTATCCTGGTTTCTTTTCCCTCATCCGCATTCCTTCCGTCTACATTTCTTCCTACTTCTCTTCCTTTCTTCTCCCGCTTTTCTCCAGAATCCTTATCTGTTTCCTACCAGGTTTCTGCTTACTCTGGGGCTTCTCTTCAGAGGCTTGTGGCTCAGTACGTTAGGAAGTTTGAGCTTTTAACGCGATCATTTGAAGATTTAAAGGTTTTTCCTTTCTCCTAACCAGGAGTCACAGATGCCAGGACGTATGACCCCCTTCAAGAAGCATCGCAACACTATAAATTTGCCCATGGCTTTAAACCCTATGAAGAGCAAGGACGTGTTGGCAGTGCTGGCTGAGAGGAATCAGGCTGTTGTACCAGTTGGGGCATGGGTGGAACCTGCTTCACCAAATAGCTCGGAAATCCCGGCATATGTGAGTGTCAACTTGATCTGGACGTGGTTACAACACTCCCCCCCTCCCCATTATTTTTCATTGTTTGATGCATAAAGATAAACAGTTGGAGGATCCTGTTTTTGTTATAAATAGATTATGTTCTTGCATTGGGATTATAGAACAAACATGTATTTGCCAAAACTTGATACAGCTTTAGTTGGCACAAATTACTTAAATAATTATTGCTCACCTCCTATACAAACCATAACATAGAGGATAAGATATTTGTAAGTTACTTCACAAACTTGATTGCTTGCTCTGAACAAGACATAGGTGCTGTCTGCATCTTTTACATACTCTTGCATTTAGCAGGAATGACGGCCACACTTGAATATTAGTTGCTTAACGTTTATGATAAGTTTTGTAAGGGAGATTCAGGCAAAGTGGAGTAAGAGAATAAAATAAAAAGAGATTACTTCTGTTAAATACAAATTGCATGAGGACAAGGACCTTTGCTGCTTTTCGTTCTTTTCCCTGGCATATTGTATGTCTTCAGGAAGTGTTTGTTGAATGAATAAAAGAATAATATGGTCTGGGTTGGCCTGGAAATAACGGAAAACAGTAAATACAGGTATGAGGAAGTATGTTAGCTGAAAGGCAACTTTTACGAAATTTACTTGTGTACATGTTTATGTGATGATGCTCATAGACCAATTAATACATGATCACAATTTTTTGTTTGTGAGACAGGGTCTTCTATGTAGTTCAAGCTGGCCTTGAACTCACTATGTAGGCCGACCTCAAACTTCTGCCTCAGTCTCTTGAGTGCTGGAACTACAGGCGTGTGCCACTACGCCTGCCTGGCTCACGATCACGATTTTTGTAAGGTCTTTTATAGTGTTTCACCAAGCTGAAATACTGCTGTTTGGTCAAATTTTATTGTGGCACTCACCATGTTTTATTTTACTAAGTTCTTATAAATAACTTTTCCTGATTGGATATGAGCTCCTTGTACATAGAGAACAAATTTTATTATTACGTCTTCACTTTAAGCCTAAGTATTGCCTAATAAATATAGGCAAATTTGTGATGATCTTCTTTATGTATAGTCAAGGCACTGAACATGATGCAATATAATATACTCATTTTATTCATATTTGTATGTATATGAATACACGTTAACTGATTTACTCCTGCCCTGCCTATCAGAAAAGATTTTAAGAGTTTTAATGGTAGGTGATTAAGTGCTAGAAATCTGATGCTTAATCAGAGAAGAAAGATACAACTTGGGTTGATGTTATCTAGGAAAGTTTAAAAGAATTTGAAAAATCAAAAGAAGAGAAGGGATGAGTCTCCTATTAAAGGGAGGGAAGAGGACAGGAAGTGAGCAAGGTATGTTCAGGACTCAAGAGTAGATTAAACTGATTAGACTGGTTTAGTAGTGGAGTGGTGGTTGGCAGAATTATGAAAAGTAGAAATGATGGAGAACTATACAGCATTTTGGAGAAGGGTTTGACTTTATTCATTGTTTAGTATATACAGATGAATTTCATTATCAAACTGTTTGAATTAGATCAAATGCTTCAATGTTTGAAAATGTTACGGAGTGATTGGATACAATGGGACTGATAGGCTATAATTACAATTTAAGACAGAATATACCATCAAAACATCTTTAGTGGTAAGGAATGTCCAGGAAAAGCCTTGAAAAAGGATGATTGAAGTAGGGATAAAAAGAAAAATGCAGAAAAGTTTCCAGAAGATTTACTTAATTAAAAAAAAAATTTTTTTTTTTTTTTGAGAGAGTCTAGTCTTGAACTTGCCATGTAGCACAGGCTGACCTTGAACTCAAAGTGATCCTCCTGCCGTAGCATCTGGAGTGCTGGGATTAAGGACCTGTGTCACCAAGCCCAGTTTAAGACATCTTTTTTTTTTTTTTGTTACCAGGTGTTGAACTCAGGACCTTGTGTTTGCGAGGCAGGCACAGTGCCACTGAGCTAAACCTCCGGCCCAAGACATCTTTTTAATTACTCAGATTATGACGTCTTTATAATGTCATTATTTTTTTTTTTTTTTGGTACCAGGTGTTGAACTCAGGACCTTGTGTTTGCGAGGCAGGCACAGTGCCACTGAGCTAAACCTCTGGCCCAAGACATCTTTTTAATTACTCAGATTATGACGTCTTTATAATGTCATTAGGATCAAATTACCTAAACTTTTATACCATTGAGCTTTTTTCTTTGTTAAAAAGACTTGAATCTTAAGTTCTCACATAAAATGCTAAAGTTTTAGGACACCTATAAACATGTCTTCATTTAAAAAGTTCTAATCAGTTTCAGCCAAAGAGAGTTTGATCAAGCATCTAATAGACCTATTTATTACTTCAGTATATTTAGTTTGGGAATCCATCATTACGAACAGGCACAACACTGTGAGTTCAAAGTAGATATAAATAGTTATTTTTAAAGATTTGTTACCCTAAAATCATGTCTCTTCTAAAGGGAAACTGCTATTCTGTGTTTTTTTTTTTCCCAAAATTTCAGTGGTCCATCATAATTCTTAAAAATGTCACAGCTTCATTTCTACATTTGTCTACAATAATAAAATCAGCATCAAAAGACACTGCTGTCCCATTGTATGTGGCTATTGTATTATTTTATTATGTGTTGTGATTATCTTTTGTTGTGTCACAAACCACCTTAGAACCTAGTAGCATAAAGCAGATAAACTTTGTGTCAGGAATCATAGCAGGGTATAGTTGGGATGGCTTGTTTCTTCTTCGCAATGATGGGTTCTCAGCTGGGGTGGCTTAGATAGTTAGACATGTCTGGGACTAGTGATCCTATCACAGCCTCCCAGAGTTCTGTGAGTACAGATGTATGCCACTAGCCTGAGTAGATCCTTACTAGATGGAGGTGAGAGGAAGGATATGCTGAGTTAAAGATGGAACATAATTCTGAGCATGAAGACATTTTATAGTACAGTATCTGAGTGGTGAACAATCTGCTGTATCTACAATGCTTACTCATTTTAGAAAATGTGTAACAGAAGTGAGTTTAAATTGGTTCACTAAGAAGTAAGGAAGACACCTTAGTTCCACGGTAATAAAAAATTATAATTTGAACATTTATAAATTCCAATTTTTACTTTGTGGTTTGGTTTTATTATTTTTTTTTTATTTTGTTTTTTTTGGAGACAGGGTCTCACTATGTAGTTGAGACTGACCTGGAACTCACTATGTAGCCCAGGCTGGTCTTGAACTCACAGCAATTCTTCTGTCTCAGCCTCCTGAGTGCTGGGATTACGGGCATGTACCACCACACCCAGCATGTGGTTTGGTTTTAGTTCTTGGTACTCATTAACCATGTCTAGATCATTGGCTCTGAACTCTCCTAATTTCCTTATTTTTCTGGGAATTTTGGATCATAGAACTGAACTGTTTTTCCTAGATCATATCCTGACTTCTCTGTTTACAGCACTCCTAATAGGCAAAACTACTGACATTTAAGTTCACTTTCTATCTTTTATATTTAAAGACTTCAGCATATATAATTGAAGAAGAACTAAAGGAACAATCAAGAAGAAAAGAAGAAGCTTTGAAACATTTTCAGAGACAAGTCAAACACCGAGTCAATCAACAAATTAGGCTGAGAAAAAAGCAACAGCTTCAGAAGTCTTATGAAGCAGTAAGTTCAAAAGTGAGCCTGAGTACAAATTGGAAAGTATGTCTATTACGAAATAAGCTATTAGGCAGTAACAGAAGCACTTTCTTTCGATTCCATGCTTTATGTAATCAGATTTTCAGTGAGCACAGTGGATTTTTATGCAGAGAAGCCAGATTTTATTCTTAAGCTCTTCTGACTTACTTTTTCACTTTCACGAAATAGTTAAAAATAATGTCAGAATTTTGGTTTTAGGTTTGCGTTTGAATTCTGATTTTGTAGCTATGTAACCTTGGGTTAATTACGTAGCTTTTTAAATTGTTTCTTTACCTGCAAAATAGGAATATATACTTATCTCACAAGATTGTGAGAATTAGATGAGAAAGCCTAAATAAATTATTAACACATGGATGCCTTAGTTCTCCTGCCAGCTAATCCTCCATCCCCTAATTGAAAATATTTTGGCTGTTGAGAGGTACTATCATCATCATCATCATCATCATCATCATCATCATCATCATCATTATTATTATTGTAGTATTGGAGAGTGAACTCAGTCTCTTTACACTGAGCTACATCCCCATCCCTTTTTATATTTTAAGTTGTTCAAATTGGGTTTAGATTTGTTGTTCTCCTTCAGCCTTCCAGAGTCCTGGGATCATAGGCATTCACCACCATGCTCAGCTTTTAGATGCATTATTTGATTGCGCTAAATTGGGATAAAATCTCATTGTCACTTTTCCTTTGTATAGGCAGAAAAAGAAGGTTCTATAGCTATGCAATCTTTTGCTCCAGCACACTTAACTCCTAAAAGTACAAGTGTTTTTCCAAGCAATTTGAATGCTGCTTTTGGAAGTTCTAGGTTGCCTCCTTCCCAGGTACTTAGGGATGCAATAGAAGATGGAGAAACTCAGAATGAATTGTTCCAACAACAAGCCCAAGCTGTAAGTACATGCTTATGTTATATTTATGATTTTTTTCCCAATTTTTAAACTAAAAATATGAAATTTCTAATATATAAAATAGGGACTAGGAGTTAGCATGTTCAAGTTGACTTTTTGGTTGTTTTTTTTGTTTTGTTTGAGACAGGTTCTCACTATGTAGTTCATACTGGCCTTGAACTCAATATGTGGCCCAGGCTGGCTTTGAACTTGCAGTGATCCTCTTTCAGGTGTGTGCACCACTATGCCTGGCAGCTTACATTTTTATTTGAAATAGGATCTCACCATGTTGCCCAGACCAGCCTTTAACTTGTGATCCTATTGTCTCATGAATAGCTGGGATTACAGGTGTGTACCACTGTGTCTGGCTCAACTTCGTTTTTCAATCACCTCTTTTTATTTTTACCTTTGTGAAATGGGGAATGGTAGGATAATGCCTATTTTGGTATATAGTTTTCTAATTCATATTTATTTTTGGTAAGGTATTTTAGAATCATCTAAAGAAAGGTGCGAAAGTATTACAATTCAGACTTTATTAGAAAGAAACTTAGGTCAAAGACAATAGATTTTTCCCAATTTTTCTGAAATTATATTCTGAGGAAGTAATTATTAGTTTGTAGCATACAGATAGAAATGATTCTTTTGTTACAAAGTGTTTGGTACATTGAAAGGGTATTTTACTTACTGCTTTTTTTCCTTATTTTTGTGTTTTAACCTGATTATCATGATGAATGGATCTGTATTTATAGGTCAAGTAATAATATAAGCACATAGAATACCCAGACTTTTTGGGAAAATGTAACTTTTTTTGCCAAACAAGGGCTCAACCTCAGGACCTTGTGCTTGCCAGGCAGGTGTGGGTGCCACTGAGCTAAATCCCTGGCCTTGAGAAAATGTAACTTTTATTTAATGATTTATGTGCCTGATAGTTAAAAGTTAAACTGGCCAGGGATATAGCTTGGTGGCCCCACACCTGCATGGCAAGTGCAAGGTCTTGAGTTCAATCACCAGTATCCAAAAATTAAACTGTCTGAGTAGACTCAGTCAAATCATTTAATTCCATCCAGTCAGCTCTTTCTTAGTACTTGAGCTTTTGTTCAGTTGATGTTCTTCACTTCTTCTTCATCTTGTTTTTGATCTTATTTAAAAACTCTTAGCAGCTGTTGGGAAGCTGAGATAAAAGGATTGCAAATTCCCTGCCTCAAAAAAACAAAAAACAAATCAAATCAAGATGAAAACTAGGGAGAGTGAAAGGAACAGAAAAACATGGAAAATAGTGACTGTATGAAAATAAAAGCTGTATTGCTGCCTAAGTTAATGTGACTGCTGATAATCAGTTCAGCTTTGAGAACAAAGAGGGAAAGCTTTTAGAAGCATGTGTTATTATTTTGAATTTTTAAAATAAATTTCCTTTGTCCAAGCTGACTTTTTTTTCTTCTTGTTTGGTTTTGTAGTAATAATATTAAAAATTATTTTGTAAGTCTTATTTAGCAAATACTTATTTGACCACACACTGCATAAAGTACAAGGGATAGAATGCTAAAATAGACCCAGTCCTTGCCTTGTGGTGCTATAAATCCTATTGTAGTGAGGATTTGACTTCATCTGCATAATGAATGTACAGAACACAACAGTCAACAGTATTTGAATACATTGTATTTGTTAAGCATTTGTAGCAATACTAGTAAAAATCTCCCATGGGTTTATATTCCCAAGTAGATATAAAGCTAATACGGTAGACCTCAAGTGTATTAGGTAATAATATATATAAACTTTTCCGATACTTGTTAATAAAATTGTGCCTCAGGAGTTCAGAAACTTTAAAATTAATAGGGAATAATAGGAAATATTTCATGGAAGAGATGGAATTGGACTGTATAGTTTGATAAACTGAACTGAATAAATACAAGAGAAATTTTGAGACAGGAACAATTAAAAAGCTTAGAATCTGCAATGAGCTTTGTATATTTGGGAAATAAGTGGTGGGAACTTTCTAATTGATAGTTTATAGAAGAGAACAAAAAATGAGATTAAATAGGTAGGAGGTTAAAAAATTAAATTTGTGGGGATTTAGTGACACAGACCTGTAATACCAGCTTAGTGGGAAGTGAGACAGGAAGATTGCAAGTTTGAACCTATCCTGGGCGACTTGGCAACTTAGCCTGTCTCAAAAAGGGGGAAAGTGCTGGGATGTAGCTAAGTGTGAAGGCCCTGGGTTTAATGCCTGGTGCCACCTATCTCACACACACACACACACACACACACACACAAACGCCTGGTGCCACCTATCTCACACACACACACACACACACACACACACACAAATGCCTTACCTGTTATATTGTGTTTTTTTGGTTTTTTGGGTTTTTTT